GCAGTGGGAATGGAGGAAGAGGGACAACCTTTAAGAAAGGAAAGAATCCAGTGCCAGATGGAGTGAAGGAAAGGGAAGGGCCAAGGACAGCTTGCTAGGGAGATAGGAGGGCAGTTCCTCTCCCCACCTCCAGCCCCAGAAGAATGGAGGCTCCGAGGAGAGGGGGGCAGGTTCTGGCAAGAGACGAGGCAGCTGCTTTTGGACAGGTGCTGGAGGGAAGGCAGGACGCCTGACCTTGGGTCAGAACACGGGACCAGAGGGACAGTGACGAGCCAGAGAGCCCAGGTGTCTGGGTCGGAGGGCCGGGTCTGGAATCTATGAGAACAGCAATCAGGCCTCCAGGGGGAGGGAAGTGAAAGTGTGAGGAAGGAGAGGAGCCAGAGTCTTGAGGGGTGTGTGCGTGCTGTGGGCCCCGAAAATCACAGTTAGGGCCTCACTGGCATTCATTTAGGAGAAGACTCACTTTTTCCACCATGGATCCTCTTTGGCCCTGGAATCCATTTCTCCTTAGATGTGCTCCAGGAGGGTCACGGGAGCACTCTCTTGGCGAGGCTACTTTCTTTCCAGGTGGGTTCCTGAGGGATCCCCCCCCCAAAAAAAAACAAAAACAAAAAAAAACACGGCTCTGAGACGAGAGCCCAGCAATTGGTTCCTCTGGCCTTTCTCACTTCTGATTGCAGTCTTGAGTAGCCTGAAGTCAGCTGCAGATGAGAACATCATTCTACTCTGCCCGTGCCAGCCTAAGACGTCGATCATCCAGCAGGAAAGCGAGCCCTCTTGGTTTGGCGTGGATAGGTGATGGCTGAGGCTTGGCGGTGCCTGACCCAGCCTGGGGCATGCTGGTCACCGCTTCACAAAATGAGACCTTCGCTGCCAATTTTTCCTCGCTCCTGCTGTCCCTTGCAACTCAAATGCAAATGTCACCCCTGAGGTCCTATCACTGTGGGGTATTTTTTTTTTCTTTTAAAGAAATACCACATTGAAAAGGACACTTGTCTTCTCTCCTGTTAAATTGCGTTCCATGGGTTAGGGAGACCAGGCCATTAATTTTTTTTCTAGACAGCAGAGCAAGCCTTGTGAAGATTTTGGCTAATGAACTTTTGGAGAAGAGCTGCTCCCATGTACCGATGAGGTTCCAGCCTCTTTTCTCCTCCCTCATCTTGAAAAAGGCTTTATGTGTTGTTTCCAAGTCTCTGCCATCGCCTGGTCTGTTTAAAAGTGACTTCCCTGGAGAGGATGGCAGAGAGGGTGTTGGATGTCACATTTTTGCAGCTTCAGTCTTCAATACAGTTGTTCCAGGCCCCAGGAAGGCTCTTCTGTTTACATAAGGGAGGCATTATCCGCACAAAGATTACATTTAGACGTATCACCCCTCCCGCCCGCCCCCCCCACCCCCAGCATGCCTGTTCCTAATAACATTGCATGTTATGAAAGTGGAAAGTATTTAGGATGAAATTAATTTTCACTCAGTGCACCACTTTGTTTGACTTTCTTGTTCTATTCCGCATCGGGCATGGGCTTGGCCAACCTCACTTTTCATTTTCTTTTCTTTTTAAAAAAATAATGCATTTTTATTGATTTCAGAGAAGAAGGAAGGGGGAGAGACAGGAACACCAGTGATGAGAGGGGATCACTGACCTGCCGCCTCCTGCACGCCCCCCACTCGGGATCGAGCCCGCCACCCGGGCATGTGGCCTTGACCAGAATGGAATCCAGGACCTTGCAGTCCATAGGCCGACGCTCTATCCACTGAGCCGAACCAGCTAGGGCCTTACTTTTCATTTTCAGCAAGTTCACTTTCTTGTTCCTCTCTTTTGGATTGAAGGTGTTGGAAGTGAAAAGTCTAACTTGAGAGCCTACGACAGATTTCTTTTGTCTTGGCTTCCAGGAGTTTGTTTTGAAAATGGAGACCCTCTTCTCTCCAGTCGATGAGTTTTAGCATACAGTTTTCTTTCTTTCTCCTTCTTTTTTTTTTTTAATGGGTTATCTTTTTGCAGACGTTCTGGGGTTGGAATAGTATCTCTTTTGGCAGTCTGTCCAAAGATGGTGGGAAAACAGATCACTGCTTCTCCCATTGGACCCCTCTCTGTCACGTGCTCTTCCTTGTCAGTTCTCACCAGTGTGGCGTGGCTGGTGCTGTGTTGTGGAGGGGTGCGGGAGCACCTGGGGTGCCCTCGCCACGCAGTGCCACCTGGCCTGGCTGCGCTGCCACGGATGCTCTGTTACACGGAGGGACATTGCTTTAGCAGGAGGAGACATTTAAGCGGGTGGGACACCCAGGCGAAGCTCTGTAGGAAATGTTCCTTTATTTTTGATCAATCTCATGATCCTTGTTACCAGCCTTGATTACATCAGTATATGTGCCGTTATGTTTTATAGCATTTAATGGGCTCTCATCCCCTCCCCAGTTCAGTTGCAGCTGTGTAACTATTATAATTTGATTATAGTTTGTTTTTCAACTGCTAGGACACTTTCTGAGTACGTTTTGTCTTCCTGGTGGGTGAAGATATTCAGAGGTAAAAAAGGAATAAAGAGCTCTTTTTTATTTTTATTTTTTTAAAGGGGGCATATCTGTAAGTAATTTCCAAACGATGCCTCAGAAGCTGCAAGGATTGTATCCTCCCAGAATGAGGAATTTGCTTTAAACTCTTCGATTAGCTCTGATTCACTGACTTAAAAAAGTGTGGAAAATTTCATTTAAAATTTGCTTTCTTTATTTCTCTAAATATTTTGGTTAAGAGCTATATTATTTTTAACTTGGTGACGTTCCCTCCCTGATTTTGGCTTTTCAAAGCTACATAGAATCAAAACAAAGGGACATTCATAATGTTGCTTCGGAATGAGCTACTGGATTCTCCCTTCGGCCCTGCGTTCCCAGGCTCTTCCCTTCCGGTCTCCTCCGCTCCGTGAAGAGGCTCAAGTTCCCCCGGCTAGGACCACCTTATGACATGTGTATTAACCTCCACATGTGCCCACCTTTCATTTCTTAGGTATTTGATCTCATTGGCTACTTTTGGGATTTACATTTCAAAAATTTTACTCTTTATTAATTTGGTAGGCAAAATGAATATTATTGCTATAACTTTAAACATTTCATGGAATTATTTTCAATTACAGTTGACCTTCAATATTATTTTATATGAGTTTTAGGTATGTGCCTTATGTTTGATCAGTTTTTATCGATGTTATATTTTTGGCCTTTTTAAAGGATACTATCTTAAAATTAGTAGCATCACTACATGCCCAAGGATACCAAAGATTTAGGAATATATAATTTACTTAATTAAGTGGTGCTTAATCAGATCACCACTCCAGAAAGCCAGAAAGGTCTTTCTAGGTTTTGAATTATTTTGTGTTCAAAATCAACTATTTTATTATTATTATTATTCTTTTATTTATCATCAGAAAGCTATTTTTCTTTTTTTTTTAAAGCTCTATTGAGCTTTGTTTATTTATTTCTGTTATCCTCACCTGCGGATATATACATGTATATATATATATATATATATATATACACACACAGATATATATATATATATATATATATATATATATATATATATACATACCCCCACACACACATACTTTAAAATATTTTTATTGATTTCAGAGAGGAATGGAGCGTGAAATAGAAACATCAATGATGAGAGAGAATCATTGATCAGCTGCATCCTGCATGCCCCCCACTGGGGATTGAGCCTGCAACCTGGGCATATGCCCTGACCAAGAATCAAACCATGACCTCCTGGTTTATTGGTCGGCACTCAACTACTGAGCCACACTGGCCAGGCCTGAGGATATTTTTTCCATTGATTTTTTTGAGAGAGTGGAAGAAAGCGAGGCGAGGGGGCTAGGAGAAGAGAAAGAGAGGGAGAGAGAGAAAGAGATGTGAGACACACATTGATCACCTGCATCCCAGGTATGGACCCTTGACCAGGAATCAAGCCTGCCACCCTTTGGTACCCTGGCCGATCTATCCACTGAACCCAACAGTCAGGGGAAAAAGTTATTTTTCTGTAAGTGTGTGGTTTAAAAAGCCTGGGACATGCCCTCTTCACCTCCTTCCCTTTATCTTAGCTCTTTTTTCATGGATTGTTTCCTCTGTCCTTCTAAGTTTTATTTAGTTTTTTTTTTCTATTGTAATGGAAATCTGTGCTTCTATGCTGGAAGGTAGGGTTCATTCTAGACTTTGGCCGGCAATCCTGCGAAGGAAGTGTGTCTGCTGGGGGATGTTAATGAATGGCTCTAGAATGGTGAAAGTTGCCCAAGGTTGTTTCAGAGCCACCCTTTGAAACGGAACCTCCTGCTTCCTAGAACAGGGACTTGTCCTTCTCAGTTAGACAAATGGCCAGGTATTTATTTCTCCAGCAAAATTGGTTCTTTGGGGGAACAACACAAGAATTGGCCGTTCTGGCCGCTATCTAAGGGCGAATCTTGTCCAAATCCGAGGAACAAAGGAAAGGAACTGTTTATGGACATGGGAGGGGCTGCTGGAATGGAAGAGTCCATTGGCAAAACGAAAGTTGGAGGTATTGTGGCTTTTCCGTGCCTGACTGCCGGCCTCCCATTGGCTGAGCGGTGGCTGGACTGGAGGCGTCACCTCCAGCTGAGCCGTGCAGCGCATCACTTCCTGCGAGGCCACAGCGGCGTGCGGTGCAGCTCGGAGCACTTGGGCCACCGGAGCGGCTGGGTCTGGGACGGCTGGGTCCTGGGACAGTTCTCACGTCTAGGCTCCAAACACCGTTTTAAATGAGGTCTCTGCTTATGAATTATCACCGCTCATTCTCGGGGGGCCCTAGCTTCTTTGCTGACGAGGCTTCTAAGGTTCCTCGTGGGTTCCTTACAGGACGCAGAGCTGGTGGAGGCCCGACACCGAGCTGGGCTTTGCCCGCGGGCCAGGCCTTGGTCCTCATCAGCCTGCAGGACCACAGGCTCTTCCCCGCGAGGCGGGGCGGGCGGGCGGCCTTCCTCCGGCCTCATCCCCCTCTCTGTCCCTCCAGGCTCGGGGACCAGTTCTACAAGGAGGCCATCGAGCACTGCCGCAGCTACAACTCGCGGCTGTGCGCCGAGCGCAGCGTGCGGCTGCCCTTCCTGGACTCGCAGACGGGCGTGGCGCAGAACAACTGCTACATCTGGATGGAGAAGAGGCACCGCGGCCCGGGTGAGCGGGGTTCGGAGGGAGGAGGGCCGGGGGTTCGGAGGGAGGAGAGCCGGGGCTGGCCCGAGAACCCTGCATGCAGGCGGGGGTGGGGCAGGCTGCACAGCGCGCAGGGCCTCTTCCCAGAAACTCGCTTTATCGCTCATGACCGGAGTTAGATTCCAGGTCCGGGCACTTGTCCAGGTTGCGGTTCTATCACCCGACTGGGTGTACGGGAGGCAACGGATTAATGTTTCTCTTTTGCATTGGTGCTCCTCTCTCTAAAACGAATGAAGTGACTTAATATATATATATATATATATATATATATATATATATATATATATATATATATGATTTTTTTTACAGCATGGAAGAGAGAGGGACAGAGAGTTAGAAATATTGATGAGAGAGAAACATCGATCAGCTGCCTCCTGCACACCCCCCACTGGGGATGTGCCCGCAACCAAGGTACATGCTCTTGACCGGAATCGAACCTGGGACCTTTCAGTCCGCAGGCCAACACTCTATCCACTGAGCCAAATAGGTTTCTGCTCGAATGAAGGGACTCTTAAAAAAACCCCAAAAAACAAAGGACTGGGTGGGGATTAGGGAGGTAATGAAAACTTTCTGTTATGTGAGTTTCGAACCCAAGCTAAAGCAGAGAGAATAATAAAATGAATCGCCATGTTTTTATCTCTCAGAGTCAACAATGACCAGCCTATGGCCAGTCTTGTTTCGTTTACACGCTCCTCCCTCTTCCCTCCTTGACCTCAGGTTGTTTTGCAGCTGGTTAAATCTGTTTTTTTTTGTGGTTGTGGTTGTCTGTAAACGTTTCTGTGTGTATGTCTAAATGGTAATGACTCGCCCCAGCAGGTTTGGCTGAGTGGATAGAACATGAGCCTGCGTACTGAAGGGTCACGGGTTTGAGCATCAGCCTGGGGACTGAAGGGTCTTGGGTTTGATTCACGTAAATGGGCTTAATCCCCCCTCCTCCCTTCCTCCATCAATGTTTCTGTCTCTCCCCTTCCCCACCATTCTCTCTAAAAATCAATGAAAAAATATCCTCGGGTGAGGATTAGCAAAAACAAACAAACAAAAAATGATAAGGCCATAACCCCCCCTTACCCCAATAAACCAGGAATAGCTATCAAAGCTCCAAGTTGCCCTGGCCCAGTGGTTAGAGTGCGGGTTTAAGTCCCAGTCAAGAACGTGGGGGAAGTCAACCAACCAATGCATCTTTCTCACACTGATGTTTTTCTTTCTCTCTTCCCTTTTCTCCCTCCCTTCTACTTTCTCTAAAAAAAAAAAAAAAAAAAAAAAAAAAAAAATCCCCAGGTGAGGATTAACAAAACAAACAAATGAAAAAAGCAGGGTGGGGGGTGGGGGGAGGGGGGACAGGGATAAGGGGTCAATGGGAGAAAAAAGGGGACTTATGTAGTACTTTAAATAATAAAGATTAAAAAAAAAACTTCAAAAAAACCATACACACAAAAAACAGTAAGACTTTGTTGTTAATTCTTGCCGAGAATATTTTTTTCTTTTTTCCCTCTTTTTACTTTGAAAGAGAGAAAGGGTGGGGTGGAGAGAGAAACATCGATTTGTTGTTCTTATTTATGAATTCATTGGATGATTCTTGTGTGTGCCCCGATTGGGGGGAGGGGAGGAGAGGGTGATCAGACCCGCAACCTTGCCATATTTTAACATGCATCAATAATTCATTTTTTTATGCTTCATTGTATGGCTGGAGTACATTTTGTTTACCTATTCCCCTTCTGAGGGACATTTGGGTTTGTGTCTAGTTTTTGGCTATTATAAAGTTGCTTATGAGCATTTGTGTATGTCTTAGTATGGACATGTACCTTTATTTCTTCTGGGTAAAGTACTGAGGAGTGTAATGGCTAGATTGTAAAGAAGGTGTTTGTTTAACATTTTACAAAACTGCTAAGCTTGTTTTCCAAGTGGGTGTGTCATTTTATATTCATGCCAGCAATAGACTTGAGTTCCAGTTCTTCCATATTCTCACCAACACTTGGTATGGTTAGATTTTTAAAGTTTTTTTTTTTTTTTTAAATATATTTTATTGATTTTGTACAGAGAGGAAGGGAGAGAGACAGAGAGCCAGAAACATCGATGAGAGAGAGTCATCGATCAGCTGCCTCCTGCACACCCCCACCGGGGATATGCCCGCAACCAAGGCACATGCCCCTGACTGGAATCGAACCCGGGACCCTTCAGTCCCCAAGCCGACGCTCTATCCATTGAGCCAAACCGGTCCCGGCAGATTTTTAAAGTTTTAACCATTCTAACAGTTATATTGTTATGTTCCAATGTGGTTTTACTTTGAATTCCCTAATTAACAATGATATTGAACATCTTTATTAATACATGTGCTTATTTACTATCCGTATATGTTCTTTGGTAAAATGTTCACCTCTTGTCCATTTTAAAATTAGATTGCTTGTTTGGTTGTCATTAAAATTTTATAGTTCTTGGTCATTAGAAGGAAGAAAACTTTACTCTTCGAGACCACATGGATGGACCTGGAGAACATTATACTGAGTGAAGTAAGCCAATCAGAGAAAGACAAGCACCATATGATTCACTCATATGTGGAATTTAATGAACAAACTGAACTAACGAGAAAAATAGGGACAAACTCATAGATAGGGAGCAGGCACACAGCTCTGGTGGTGGGGATGGGGTGGGATGAGTGGGGGATGAGGGTATTAGAGAATGTGGAAGGATTGGAAGGAAGGAGTAGAAAAAAAGAAAGAAATGGACATGGACAACAATGTGGTGATTTCAGGGTGGGGGGAGTGAGTTGGATGGAGGTGGATGAGGGTACAGTGGGGATATAAGACCTTCATTTGACATATGCTTTGAAAATATTTTCTTTCAGATTGTTTCTTGTATTTTCATTATCTTAATAGTATCTTTCAAAGAGCAGGAATTTAAGTTGGGCTTAGCAACTTGTTATTTTCTGAATTGTTGTATCTAAGAAATGGTTGCCTTAATCCAGGTCAAGGTTTTTTTTTTCTTCCCCCTGCAGAAGCTTTATAATTGAGGTCTTATATTTAGGTCTATGATCCATTTTGAATTAAATGTTTAATATGGTGCAAGATATGGATTAAAGTTTTTTTGCAGATAGATATCCAATGTGTTGAGTTATGAATTGCCATTGTACCTCTGTCAAAAATTAAGAGGCCACATATATGTGGATCTATTTCTGGACTCTCAGTTCTGTTTCACTGATTTATCTATCTTCACAATAATATCTGACTGTCTTGGTTATTGTAGTTTTGTAATGCATCTTGAAATCAGATAGTGTGTTAGCCCTCCCAAATTTGTTCTTTTTCCAAGATATTTTGGTTATTTGACGTTTGCACTTCCACATGACATTTTACAATCAGTGTCAATTTTCACACAAATATGTGGAATTTTTTATTGGGATTGTATGGATTCAATAGATCAAGTGGGAGAAAATGGACAGTTATCAATGTTGAGTCTTCCAATCCACAAATATGGCCTATCCCTACTTATTAATGTCTAATTTTCCCCATCAATCCTCTTTTTAAAAATGTATTTTATTGATTTTTTACAGAGAGGAAGGGAGAAGTATAGAAAGTCAGAAACATCGATGAGAGAGAAACATCGATCAGCCGCCTCCTGCACACTCGCTACCGGGGATGTGCCCACAACCAAGGATGCCCTTGACCGGAATCGAACCTGGACCCTTGAGTCCACAGCTGACGCTCTATCCACTGAGCAAAACCGGTTTCGGCCCGTCAATCCTTTTTATTTCTCAGTATACAGGTCTTCACATTTCTGTCAGGTTTATCTCTAGGTACTTACAATATTTTTTATATTGTTGTAAATGGATTTTAAGAGAATTTAAACTTATTTTTTGATGCTAGTATAGAGTACAATTAAGTTTGTAAATCGATTACATATCATGCAACCTTTTAAACTCATATTAGTTCTAGTAGGTTTCTAGGGATTCCACAGCATTTCCACATAGTTGGTTATGTTTTTAGTAAATTAAGAAAACTTTCCAATATAGATGATTTTTATTTTATTTATCTATTGCACTGGCTGTAATGTCCAGTGCAATATTAAGTAAAAGTGCTGAGAGGAAGCATTCATTGCTTCATTATTTAAAAAAAATATATTTTTATTGATTTCAGAGAGGAAGGGAAGGGAGAGATAGAAATGTCAATGGTGAGAAAGAATCATCAATTTGCTACGTCTCCTGCATGCCCTCTACTAGGGATCAAACCCAAAAGCTGCCCTTGACTGGAATCGAACCCAGGACCTTTCAGTCTGCAGGCTGACGCTCTATCTACTGAGCTAAACCAGCTAGGGTCATTGTTTATTTTTTTTCTTAAAAAAATATATTTTTGTAATAATTGATTTATTACAGAGAGGAAGGGAGAGGGATAGAAAGTCAGAAACATCGATGGGAGAGAAACATCGATCAGCTGCCTCATGCATACCCCCAACCGGGGATGTGCCCGCAACCAAGGTAGATGCCCTTGACCGGAATCGAACGTGGGACCCTTCAGTCCCCAAGCCGACACTCTATCCATTGAGCCAAACCGGTCTCGGCGCCAACTGATATTTCTATTGAAATGCTCATGCAATATTTCTTTTGTGGTTTGTTAATATGATGTTACATTGATTGATTTTCCCCCTGCAAAAAGCTTTATTGTTTCATTTGGTCCAACGCATGGGAGAGGGCTTCAGGGTTAAAAGAATGGCCAGTAGTTTCAGGAAGAGGCTCAGGCAAAAGCCAGGCACCTGGGGAAAGCAGGGGGGCCCCTCAAAGGCTCCTAGTCACGCTTGGAGGTGAGCCTTTCGAAGAGATACTCGCGCAGAGTGGGGGCCGGCAGCCTGCGAGTGTTAGTCACGTGGTGGCCCATCTTCTCGATGAGTTTCACCTCCTCATCCAGGAAGCGGTTCTCCAGGAAGTCACAGAGCAGAGGGCCTACATGGTTGAACCCAGGGCCTGCAGCTCCAAGGGG